ACTAATTTATCTGATGTAAAAGGTCTTTTGTGTGTACTCGTGGTACCATTTTGTTCAAAAATATGATCTAAAGTTCGTTTCGGGAAGCTCTTTGATAGTCAGTTTCTTTTATTTTGTTTGTTCAAGTTCTTCTAAGTTGCAGGGTAAAGGAGAAGTCTTTTGGGGATTGAGAACCCTTTGCTGAGTTATGTATAATGTAGGCTAAGCTGCAGTCTAAATAAGTGGAAAATTATGGTACATATCTGCTCATGCAAAAAGGTCTGGGTGGGAAATAACTTTTATTTGGGTTGCATGTTTATGTTAGCAGATTCTCTTTTTGATATTTGAATTAGGGACAACTTGCAACTTGATCCATTTTCCTTGTCTGGTTTTCAGTATCTAGTGTTTATTTGTTATTGGGTTTTCTTTTGATAATAGAGATTTGGTGACCAGTTTCCTGACATTTTATTTTATTGGTCAGGGGTAACTTGAGCCTTATGGTCTTGCCAACATCTGACTTGCGACTCTCATTTATCGGAGACAATGGTCACTCAGAACAACTCTTTACTTATACCAGCAAATCTCAGTGTTCCGCAGTCTCGATCGAGGAGATAACTGCAGACAGCTCTGGTAGATCTTTCGTTATAAGGATCGCGGATGGCAATGCTTTTTACTATTGGTGTTCAGAGAAGTCAAAACTTCTGGGAACTGAATTGCGTAGGAAGGTTAGTAAGATAGAGGTGATCTTTTCTTTGCAGTTACCTGTCTTTACATCTTGGTTTTCTCATAATCTATTTTGTTTCTTCGTGATTCTCCTGTGTAGATGAAAGACTTGATCAAGAAGAAGCCATCAATCTCGGAACTAACTGGAATTGAAGAATCTCGTCTTGGCTCTGTTGCTTCTCATATCCGTTTGTATCTCATGGGTTCAGTGGTGCCTAACGTCAAAGGTTGTCCGATCCCAACCACTGATTCATTATCGTCTACTGGTTCTGGCTCTTCTGAAACAGCTGATTCCTCCTCCTCTGCTGCATCATCGAAATCTCTTAGAGCACGCCAGTCTGGGACTCAGCTGACAAAGACCCAAGGAAGCCTCAGCCCTAGATCAAGCTCCTTCAAAGAAAACACACTGAGAAACGCTTCTCTACGTATCTCTTCTAGAGATAAATCAAAGCGACGCAGTGAAGGCTATTTCTCAACCATCACCTCCATCCCCACCAATTTTGAGGGTTTTATCCATTCAGAAGGAGAACGAGAAGAAGCCGCAGAAGATCATAACGGAAGCGGTCAAATTATCGCTTCTGAAGCAGCGGAGTTAGCATCGACTACAATGACCTTACCGCCACACTTTCCTTTGAAGATGGGTCCACCAGTGTTTTCTCCTTATTACTGCTGGTGCCCTCCAAGCACCTCATCGCTTCACGCTCAGTCTGCTTCATATCAGTTCCCTCCATTATCAATCGAGCTACCTTCACTTCCGCCTCTTTCCTCCTTGTTACCATCATCAAGATCAGATGGGTTCTTGATTCCGTCATCACCGCTCGATCTCTCTGACATCCCTCCATTACCTTTAGTCCACCACATGCCCATTCCGGGT